GGCAAAAAAAATCTAAAATCTACACAAACACGGCTTTTTGTAGTTATTTTAAGTTCAAATTTGGATAAAAWTACATATTAAAAAACCAAGAGTAATAATTTTAGTTAYATTGTTGTAGTTTAAAAATATTATTCCTGAATACTTAAATTTCTAGAGTATACTTAATATTCTAATATTAATAGTTAATGTCGTGAATGACTATTGACTATCATACATTAATACTTTATAATAAATTGTATATAGCTTATATGAATGACTGAATGAGATATGAATATTTCAACTCCTGAGTAATTTTCAATCWWGGAATTGAACTAAAAGAAACTGCGGTTCGTTTATGATTATATAATTCTTTTTTAATTATCTTTAAATAGGTACCAAACAATATTAAAATATCCTTAAATAAGTATTATTATATAAATACGGTCTTAATAATTCTAACACTAATTATATAATAATAATAAGTAAATAAATAATGTATATAAGTGTATAGATACTACTGCAACAAATAAAACAATATTTAAAAGCGTTCATGTTGGTAGGTTACTCACTTAACTTATATTGTGGGTAAACCTTTACAAACTTTGCTTATAAATGTTTGATTTATTTAATTGTTTTGTGATTTTGAATGAATATTGCTTTTTATATTTTTTGATATAATTTTAAAATCGTAAAGTAACTTACATATGTTACACAGTAGTAACTTACATAGTATAAAATCAAAATGATAATAACAACTTTGTTCAATTTATAATAATTAAAACAATTCAAGTTTTGTTTATTTTTTTTTTTTTTTTGCAACATTTTACATACATTTCTTGTTTCTGACTTATACATAAGTTGATTTTTTTTAAGCACGTTGAACAAAAAATGTGAAAATTTATATTGGTTTATTTAAAACATTTTCCCTAGATCTTTTGATTTATAACTTTTATAAAAAATTAAGAATTCTTGTGCACTAAAAAAATATTCAGATTTTAATAATTTTAGGATAAAATCATTACATTTAAACTCTTTAAAATGTTRTAAAATCTTATTTTTGTTCACCTATATATGAGTCTTAGTTTTCAATTTATTTATTTTATGATGATCACCCCTCTAGGTTTTGACAGGTGGGCGCCATCGATAAAAAATTAAAGGTACCAAACCTAGAGTATTGTTATATTATTTTAATATTTTATTTACTAATTAAAAATGTACTCACCTTATATTTTTAATGAGTGTAAAAATAACTTAAAATAACTTAATCAACAACCCAACACGAACATAATAACTATAACAATTTATTATAAAACTCGGCCAGTGATTTACGATCATATGAAATCATTCATATAAATTAAAATGTTCAATAACAACATAAAGCATATTATATAGGTAGTAGAAATTTGTAAATGGAGGGGACAATGTTTTTCTCATTAGAAAATTATGATAAAACATGCACAATGAAYAAACCTATATGGCTATATACCTACCTTAATACCTATTGATATAGGTAATACTTACTAAATATACATATTATATTTTACGACCGAGTGCTTAAATTATGATGTGTATTATCAATACGAAATATATGAGGGTAATATAATATAAGTGAAATAACTTTTTCAATCACGACAAAAGTATGCCTAAAGATAAACTTTAACTTCATTTATATAGGTGTGCGTACATCATTAATAATATACATCAATTGAATATTTGAATCTATAGACTCACAAATAAAAGTTGATAACACAATAACAACAAAAGCGGGTAAGTGGGTATCGCTCTGCTGTACATTAGGGGGTGGGGTGGACCTCTGACTAGGATAGGTTAAATTTGAATGCAATGATAGGTATCATTGTATACGAAAAACGATTCTGAACGGAGATG